CATCGAACTTTTGTGGGAGTCCACTTGCGGCAACTAGCTGGGATGCGGGCGGAGTAGGGATTTGGGGGTGGTCCGACAAACCACCCATATCCGATTCAGTCCTCCCGCATTCTCACTTCGCTCTTGTGACACTTGTGTCCATGCGGGAGTAAGACTAGAATGCCAAGCTGGAACTTTCTCGCGCGGGCTGCGGAGCAGGACCGGTAGACTGCTTCATCCGAAACCCACCCGAAACCAACCCTAAACCAAAACACCCCATGTGGGAGACTCCGGTCTTTTGACTCAGGGAGACGTTTGAGTGCCCAAAAATGCAATCCCGCCCCCCAAAAAAATCAACGCAACCCCTGACTTCGGACACCGGGGACGAAGTCATTTCGCCCAAACCGCCCTCAGTCGCCCAGCCTTTGCTGCCGGGCTCGGGAGCCGCTTGAGTGCGGCAAACACAGAGACCTGCCCGAGCGGCAGCCCAAAAATCCGCCCCGACGGGACCAATCCCTCTTCACGGCATATCCCCAAGCATAGGTCACACGCCATGTCCCCTGAGATTTTTTGGCAGGATACCATCCGAACGGTTTCGGCAGATCTCAGAACTTTCGATCACCGCGGCAAAGCGGTGGGCCAACGAACTCCTAAGCGGAAAATGGTGGGAATATCCTTCCGCAGCTTTTGTGGATCGGACAAATTTTCATTTTGTCAGGGAGAACCAAGATGAAGCCGCGAGGCGGCAAGCAGCAAGCATGAATCTTCTGATCTGCAATGTGCAATGTACGATTGTGTGAGTGCTGATATATTGTAGATTCCTGTTTTGCACAATACAATTATCAGGCTGGAGTGCTGAACACCGGTCACACTGCAACGTGCAATTGATCGCTGTCAGTGCCTACCCTACTTTGAAGCACGCCCAAGTGGAACTGCAAAACAGATTTAGACTCTTCAACCCTCCTTGAGGGATTCACTTCTCAATGGCGAAAGTACTGGCGCTTCCCTTTGGAACCTGTCCACGCCAAAGGCGGGATCCCGCAATTTGCTTGCTGCCTGAAAAAAAGGCACACCATTTGTTCGGCTGGTCGATTTCTAAGCGGAGCCATCCGAAAGGGCAAAATGGATGCCATGTTTGGGAAACAGCTTCTTTGTGTTCTGACGGGCCGTACGATCCGTATGGCTTGTGTTTAGAAGAAACCAAAAGGACCACTCATGTTGACGCCTTCCCTGGTTTAGGAAACACTCCGGACAAAGGGGGTTGCCTTTCGGATTGCTTTCGTTGCGGAGGGCATTGGACCTCTCATCCAACATGCCCCTGTGGTACCATCCCACTCGCACTCTTTGCAGACCTTGGCCACTCGCAAAACTTAAACCCAACATTTTCGCAGACGTGATTGGTTGCATGTCGGTAACCAGCCGGGGAAAGAAAAGGAAACAACCATTTGCCTTATGTGCCTTGCCCCTTCAGTTCACCGTTCACCTTTCCCCTCTGGGATTCAAAAAAAACCAAAGCAATGGTGCATTTGTGACCATTCCAAGGATTGTCATCGCCTGCCGCATGGCGGTCGCCGGGCTCAGCGAGGAAGCACGGCAAGGGCTGACCGGGCTGGAGTCCTGAAGGATTCGAGGGTTGGTGCTCCATCCAGTTCTTCTGTCTGGGATCACCAAACATGCACACCCTTTCTGGAGGGCTTAGAAGGAGAGCAGAAGTAAGCCCACCATAAAAAGGAGCTCCCTGGTGACACATATGACCGGATGACCCCAAGTGCCCGGAGCAAGCCAGTAAGCTTGGGGTGGGGGGGGCGGGCCCGAAGAGTTCTGAAGCCTCAACCCCCCCCCTTTACCCCCTTTGGGCCAAATAGGTGGGAAGCTTCCAGAAGCCTTGGAAGCTTCCAGAAGCCTTGGAAGCTGGTCCCCCCTCCCCCCCCTTTTTCCTGAAGCTTCCCAAGGCTTCCGGAAGCTTCCGCAAGGCTTCCAGAAGCTTCCGGAAGCTTCCGGAAGCCTTGCGGAAGACTTACGGACTTCTGAAGCTTCGGGGAGCGGACGGGAAGGGCAGGGGGACGGGGAAGGAAGGGGTGCGAGGGGGACGAGCATGAGTGTAGTGGTGGGTGTCATTTTCCAGCGCTTGTCGCGCCGCCAGTCAGTGGGGAACCCTTTGGGAGCCAAATACTTTCACAGTGCTATAACACTCCAATAGCAGTGCTATAGCATGTCTCAAGGGGGGGGTAAGGGGGGGGTTATGCTTTCTTAAAAGAGGCTGGTTTACACCTGGAACATGCATAGCGCCGTCCAAACAAAAGGGGGGTCGGGAAAGCAAACCAGCTCTTGCTCATCCTGCAAGTTCCAGATCCCCAGATAGACAAAAGCTGGGTGTTTGAGAAAAAATGGTGCCCCTCTTCTGGGTGGTGCTCGAGGGAAAGCAAAATAAGCCATTTGTTTGAAAGCCCCCGTACTCTTTGACACCACCTTCTTACCAAACAGGACCTCGCAGGGCTGCAGGACATGCCTGCCCACTTCAGTCACGCAACTGGGAAGCCGGGTTAGTCGAGGCGCCGGTCAGAACCCAAACCTCATGCGCGGCGTCCCCTCAACTCCATTGTCCATATGCCGGCAAAATGAAACCAAACCAAACCAAACCGAATCAACCGACTTCCCACCACAAAACCCCCTCCAAACCTGAAACCCGATGCGTCCGCCCCCGAACACCGACCGACGCGGTTTTCGGGACATCCTGGCTCTGTATCTCTGGTACTCGTCGCCTCGCCATGGCTGGCACCTGGCTTCGCTTTTGCCATTGGTGACAAAGGGGAGTGTCGATGTTTGAGGGTTTTAAAGGAGAACCAAAGGGGTTGTAAAGGAGAACCAAAAGGAAAACCACGATTGTGGAGGGGTCCCCTAAAGAAAAGCAGACCTGCCGGCAGGCTGGGCTTGGCACAAAAGAATCTGACACTTCAGGAGACGTCTGGATGTGTCTCAAAGAAATAAAGGTCGGTACGCCGCTTTTTCCGAATTGGAAGCTATCAAACATCCCCGATTTGTCTGCGGGATGAGTAGAACTCAAAACTTGCTTGGACTTACCAACCTACCCGGTTTTTGCTTGCTCAGCTGGGTGTCTCTGTGGGGACCCCGAATTGTCGTGCGTTCCTTTTGGTCTCCCTTGAAAACCCAGGGTATGGGTCAAAATAGGTACCCCCAAAATAGCTTGCCCTGGTCAATGGAAACAAGGACTGCTTCACCTGCTGCTTTTCTTGTAACTCAGCAACTCGACAACAGGACTCGACCTGCGGCTTACTTTCACCCAACTTGCTGGTGCTTAGTAGGGAATGAGGGAATGAACCCGCCACCAGTTGGATGGTTGTTGGGGGTCATTCCCCTGGGGATTCCCTTAAAGGAAACCACCAGTTGGACTCGATGTTGGGGGTCGTTCCTCCCAAGAAAAGTCGTCGAAGCGCACATCTCGGCGGCATGCGAAGCGCCGACCGCGCCTCAGGCACCTGCAGGGACCTCCGAGAGCCCAGGGAGGTGGCCCGCTTGCGGCCCTTCGGGTCCTCAAATACAACCCATCCACCGCCCGTGTGGACCCGGCGCTGGATTTGTAGGCGGGGGACCCCCCCAAAAAAAAGCGGTTCTGTGGGATGTCCGTTTGGTTTCCCTAAAACACCCTTGTGCGGGGTCTGTTTTAGGGGAACCCCCCGAAAAAATGCTGCTGTGTGGGGTGTCCGGTTGGTTTCTTTCCCTTACAACCAACCAAAAGGGTGGTTCCCTAAAACAAGACACACTTGGGGTGCCAAAGAACCAAACAAACTGAAACCCGCAGTTTGAAGTTGACAGTTTTTTGGGTTGCCTCAAAAAGGAGCTTAGCAACCAAACTTCCCGAAAACAGTCGGACATGGGTATGTGTCAAAACTTGGGTACACCCCCAGAACGGCCTTGGTGTTCCTTTTCACAACCTGGAAAGGCAAAAGTCAAACTCATCTGCCCATGATTCCCGACCTGCCCTGCCTAGGTTTGTTTGATGAAAAACAAATCAAAACTTATGCTGTAAGCCATTTGTTGAGAGGATTATTTCTACAAGAGACCGAAGCTTCAGCTTCATCTCCTCTGTAATTGGTCTTGCCTGGAACAAGGCGTTCAGAAAAGCCATAGGGATCATGCCTGGCAAGAGCTCTGGACCTGCGAACTGGCTCGATCCAAGACCCAAGTATGGGAACCCTCAAACTGGGCGGCTCACCGGTTGCTTAGAATTCAAACCACTTCCAAAAAAGGTGCCCAAACACCGAATGAAGACAAAAGGGTGCCCAAACACCGAATGACCCACGTCCCTCCGTGGCAACTCCCTTCTCATCCACACACCTGGAGACGTTAAGCCTATGCCGAGCTGCTGCGGGCGGAATGCGGCCATGAGAGGCATGCGATGCATGCGGCTTCACAAGCATGTGGCTTGCACGCGAAGCGTCACAGTCTAGTATGATAAATGCCAAATTGCTGAAAACGGCGCGGTCGGCTGTTTTGGGCGGAACAGGTCTGGCACTTGCCTTTGCCCTGCACTTGCGAGCTGCTTCGATCACAAACATGAATGGAATTCATTGACTGACTTTCGAATAAAGTTTGCTGGCTTCTATCACCAGCCTGGTCAATTCGAGCCACGCAGACAGCGGAAGGGATTCGCAATCTGTTTCACGACAGCAGCCACGCCTTTCGGCCTGCCCTTGTTTGCAGATCGCGCTTTCCGGCACCATTCCGCTTCATCCATCCATGCTCTCATTGAGATCTAGACACCCCTACCAGTGACTCTAGCCACCTTTCCAATCCTTGCTAGAATGAGTGGCCGAGCCCCTAAGATAAGTATGAGTGCGTCTCTTGTTGACGGACCCCCCAAAAGGGTGGCTTCCTCTTGGTTTCCCTATAAAACCAGAAAAAGATGGTCAAAAGAAGCGCGCACACACACACACACACTGTCACACACGTATGGTCCGGATTAATCTGAAGTTTCTTAATTCCAAGAGCCTAATGCCCGCCTCGTACACCACCTTTCCGTTGGCTGCTGTGTACGTGCCGAATCCTGACGGGGATTCGCCGGTCTCCAAATAGGGAGCCGCTAAAATGGGCCTCGGCTCCTTTTGAAGCCAACCCGAAAGGGGCACCCTGAAGCTAAACACACGCAGGAGTTTCTCCCGGCAGTCCAGTCCGAGTGACTTGCCTGAACAATTTGAGCTCATGGAAATTCGAAACCACAGCGGCCACCTATGCCTAGGATTAGAAGAAAGCTCAGGATGGCTTGGGCTTGACAGTCTCGGGAGCCCTCCCGAGCACTCCATCCGCGCCCACACTGCCTACCACCCAACTGACAAGGCAACAAGCGCCACGTATCGCTCGATCTGTTCGGTGATGTTTCCAAACCGAGCAACATCTATAAGACTTGGAACTAGAGACCTTCTGGCTTACAGGTCGCACCCTCGAAGGAGCCAAACCCAGATCCACAAAGTCGGAAATGGGTATGTCTCAAAAGGGGTCCCAACATAGTGTCGGTCTTCCTTTTGGTGTCCCTTTACACGAAACTGAAGATGTGTCAAGTACCTTTCGTCTCAGAACAACCGAGCCACACCCATGGGAGGGCTGGGTAGCCTTGAGGCTACGCCAGGGCTTGGAGTGCCCCGGCTCCCAAAAGTGAGGCTCTCAGCAAAAGCTGTGTACCCATCCCCGGTAGCGAGCTCCCTCAAAAATCGCATGGGCTGAAACACCGCACATTCGCGGGGCCCCCGGCCGTGCTTGCTGCCCTGCAGAAAGTCGCCCTCGTACTTGGAGCCTCGAGGCTTCGATTGCAACCCCCCCCCAAAAAAAAAGACGCCGGGACGTCCTTCACAAAGCAAAGCCGAAAGGGGGGGCTTTCGGAATTTGACGGGGTTCTGGGGGGGGGGTTTGCTCTTCTTGAGAAATTCCGCGGACCTCAGACGAGGCCCATTTCAATATTGGGGACCACCCAAACATAGGCCATAGGCAACCAACATTTCGGTTTTCGTTCTGTAACAAGGAGGGGCCCCGAGTTTAGGAAACTCCCACGTTGCCACAGCGATGCCTTTTCTTTTTGGGTTTTTGGGGGCAAGAAGCAGCCACCCCTGAGCGCGAAGAGAAAGAAACAACTCAAACCTGGCAAAGTTGGCGCATTCTTGGGGCCATCCAAAATCCTCCTTGGCCTCTCGGAACTCCCGCTACCCCAACGGAAATGTTGCACGTAACCCCCGTGCGGGCTGTGGGCTTGGGTGGGAGCCCCCGCCATCCGCCCACTTCTCCATGCCCTTGCCGGACTTCTCGTCCTGAAGGAAAGACGAAAACAAAAAGAAGCGGGGCTTCTGACTGGCGGTGCATGTTCGCATGTTCCAGATTCAGAATGCCTGATACTGGGGCTGGCTCCGGAGAGCAAGCACTTTGAATCACTGAGAGTTGCATGCCTTTGTGCAACGTGTCTTGCGACTATGTCACCAACTGCCAATCCACTGAAAGGCCACGAAAGGACACAAGATAGGCAGTCATGAGTCAATAAGCAGCTTGAATTTGAGTTAAGTTTCTCAAAGATTCGAAAGATCCACATGCATGTTTAGATGTCCGCAGACTTAACATGATTGGGTGTATGTGTATACGTGTGTATACGTGTGTGTATACGTGTGTGTATACGTGTGTGTATACGTGTGTGTATACGTGTGTGTATACCGTGCGTGTGTATACGTGTGTGTATACGTGTGTGTATACGTGTGTGTATACGTGTGTGTATACGTGTGTGTATACGTGTGTGTATACGTGTGTGTATACGTGTGTGTATATGTGTGTATACGTGTGTGTATACGTGTGTGTATACGTGTGTGTATACGTGTGTGTGTATACCTAGACCCTCCAGGTGTGCATTTTTTCTGCCGTTTGCTGAAAAAGCTATATATTGTGTCGTTTGCTCCAAAAAGAGCCTTTTCCTTTTAAAAGTGCTGCTTCAAAATCTTGCCAAAACGTGGTCGGCAAATGTCGCTTTTGGTCGGGGAATGTCGCCTTTGGGTCGGGCAATGTCGCCTTTTCGTCTTCATCCTGGTTTCGCAAAACAGCAAAATATGAAAAAATGCGCTGAGGTAAAAACATGTGTCGTTTGCACCAAAAGGAGACTTTGGCCCAAACAGCACAAAAAAGGCATACTTAGGAGGGCTCAGGTATGTGTGTGTGTACGTGTGTGTGTGTACGTGTGTGTGTGTACGTGTGTGTGTACGTGTGTGTGCGTACGTGTGTGTATACGCGTGTGTATAAGTGTGTGTATACGTGTGTGTATACGTGTGTGTATACGTGTGTGTATACGTGTGTGTATACGTGTGTGTATACGTGTGTGTGTGTATACGTGTGTGTATACGTGTGTGTGTGTATACGTGTGTGTATACGTGTGTGTGTGTGTATACGTGTGTGCATACGTGTGTGTATACGTGTGCGTGCACGTGTACGTGTACGTGTACGTGTACGTGTACGTGTACGTGTACGTGTACGTGTACGTGTACGTGTACGTGTACGTGTACGTGTACGTGTACGTGTACGTGTACGTGTGCGTGTGCGTGTGCGTGTGCGTGTGCGTGTGCGTGTGCGTGTGCGTGTGCGTGTGCGTGTGCGTGTGCGTGTGCGTGTGCGTGTGCGTGTGCGTGTGCGTGTGCGTGTGCGTGTGCGTGTGCGTGTGCGTGTGCGTGTGCGTGTGCGTGTGCGTGTGCGTGTGCGTGTGCGTGTGCGTGTGCGTGTGCGTGTGCGTGTGCGTGTGCGTGCGCGTGCGTGGGCGTGCGCGTGGGCGTGGGCGTGCGCGTGCGCGTGCGTGGGCGTGCGTGCGTGGGCGTGGGCGTGGGCGTGGGCGTGGGCGTGGGCGTGGGCGTGGGCGTGTGCGTGTGCGTGTGTGCGTGTGTGCGTGTGTGCGTGTGTGTGTGTGTGTGTGTGTGTGTGTGTGTGTGTGTGTGTGTGTGTGTGTGTGTGTGTGTGTGTGTGTGTGTGTGTGTGTGTGTGTGTGTGTGTGTGTGTGTGTGTGTGTGTATGCATATATGTATGCATATATGTACATATAATCCACAACTTCACCCAGCCACCAGAAGCAGATGGCTAGCTTAGCGCGGTTTTTGAGCACCCGGGCTTAGCGCCGCCCTTCTCCGTGAAGTCTAAACCAAATGAAAAAAATTACCAAAGTGGAGGCGAGATGGTGAACTTCAAAATAAATCCCCCCGTGCACCTGACTTCCACCACTTAAAGCTATGCTCAATGCTTGTCCAGGAATCGGAACACTCTCGCATGGGCGCCTTGAACATTCGAACCCGGAGGCCTACTAAAGCCTGGTGGACTTGGTTCGGGGGTTGTAACCCATGTCATATTTGTTGAGGCATGTAGTCATTTTGGAGGGGAGGAGCATGACCTTCAATCCGGAGCCAAACCGTGAGGCCATGGAAGGAGACTTCCCAGCTCCTGCAGCCACTGCCCCACATAGGTGCTGCCATCTTCATGTGTCTGAGCAAGCGAACTGGAACCCCTCTGGAACTAGAACCGCATGGTTTTCTCACCACTTGCCAAGGAAGTCCCGAGGACCTCCACTGCTTGTGTTGCCTCTCAGTGACCCCGCTCTAAACGACCAGTTTTGAAGGCCCAAGACTGGAAAAGGCGGCCTGGAATCGGAGGCTGGCTCTGCCCGAATCCGAGACACTTGCAAGCATCACACCCCGAAACTCAAGAAAGTCAACAATCATGTAGTTATCCCCGTGGCAGCATCATAGATCTTTCCCATTGCCCTCACTTCCACGCAAAAAAAAACACCAAGCGCACAGATCAGCCCTGTTGCATCCCTCTCACTGCAGCCGCTTGCAGCCGACCCGAGCCGCTGACGTAGGTGCCGTGACCCTGGGCGCGGTCCTGGCTTCCCCACGGGTGGCTATGAGCGAAAGCAACAGTCAGAGGTACTAGTAGCCTACGAGAGCCAATCCAATGCCGGAAAATGCCCGTGCGTGTCAAACCCAAAAACCCCAGAGTCCAGTCGGCTCTGATCTGACCCTCTGAGTTTTGTCCCTCAGGTGAGAACACGCCCGGCATGTCGACTGATTCGTAAGCGGGCCTTGGGGGTGGGCCCATTTTGAAGGTCCCGAGAACCACGAAACTTGGCTGGCAAAAGTGTGATTCGCTGGAGAGGGTCACAGACCAACCCAAAAAAGATGTGAATGGTCCATCAAGTTAGTGCGTCTTGCACCAGCGGATTAGGAACCTACATTAAAGACAAAAAAGCTCCGGAGAGGAAAAATCAAAAAACGGTACCCAGACGCAAACCAAATCTCAAACCCTCTCATGGGAACAGTTTGATCTCTTCTTGGGAGTTGCACCCCCGGTAGCCTGCCAGAGTCTACTTAAATCTGCTCTTCAGGGTGCTTCGCCGGACTGTCTTAGCTCATGTAAAAAACGGCTTCTGTCAGGTTCTGTCGCACATAGACCAAAAAAAGCAAGCCGTCGACTCAAGCTACGCTTCCCCCGGCCTGGTGCCAATCACCCTCGTAGATGTTGCCATTTGCGGCCTTGAACCTGCCAAAGCCGTGTGCTCGGCCGCCTGGCGCAGCACTCAAGCAAGTAGAGGTCCTGGAGATGATGATGATGATGATGATGACGACGACGATGATGATGCTGATGATGGATGACGAACATTAAGAAACATGTAGAATCACAATTATCCAATTCGCAGTCCAAGAAGGACAACAAGTCGCACCAAGTCGCAGCGGCGTCTCACTTTTTTAAAGTGGATGCCATGCTTTCGTGTGCACGCGTCCCCCCAGCCCACATCGAGGGGAGAGGGGGGCCCGGGCTCCAAACAGGCAGGCGCTGCACTGGAACATGCCCTCATAGGAGGACCCATCCGGCCGCGTGAGCAGACCCTTGCCGTGGCACTGCGAGCCCCGCCACTGGCCCTTGTACCTGGAGAAGCGGAGCCAAGATTGGACCCCAAGGAAAAAACGTGCTCCTTGGGTGTCCTTCTCCGCTTCAGGTGAATTCGGTGCTTCCTTTGGTTTCCTTAATTTCACAAGAAGCAGGGCGACGTACCAACTCAAAAGGGACGCAGGGCCTGGCGAATCGCAAGACCCGACTGCACCTGGGTGGCTCTTTTTCGGAGTTGGTACCCCTTTTTGGGGTTGGTCTTAAAAGAAAAAGCAAACGGAGAACCCCCCCTTGTTGGGGGTGCCCCTCAAAAGACAGACCCAAATGAAGGGAACCAATAGAGAAGCGGAAGCAGATGGGATCTGCTTTGACTCTGGCAGAAAATGATGAAACGAATACTGCGCAAATAAACAAAGGAATTAACGTAGGCGAGACATTGGAAGAAGTGGTCAGTGGCTATCTCACCAAAACCTTTCTGAATGATTTCCAAGGGTTGTGGGAACATCCTCCAACTGTGATACCAAAATCAAACATGGGCCATCCCCATGACTACTTTATCACTTTAAAGGAGATTTTCTAGGTATCACAAATAGCAGCTGGGGTGCCCGTTTGGGTTGGTTTAGGAAATCCTGAAGAACCCCAATAAGAAACACTTGTGTGAAGGTCCCCAATAGGAAACACATTTGTAGTGGTCATTCCGGGAATGGGTCTTGTAGTAACTCTCCCGTAGGGTTGGCCGTTCCCCACAAGCCAAGTAGGGCGTGTTTGCGGTGCGCCATGATCCCAACTGTAGCGGCAACTTCTGTAGCGGCAACTTGGGCAAAAACCTGTGGCACAAGTGGAGATGCGTCTCAGCACCAAGGCCATGTTGCCATCAAACACATGCTGATCTTGAACCAAAGTGAGGGCCACACTTTGTGCTGCTCCCGCTGCCGGTAGATGCTACGTCAAAAGACCCGAAAGCCGACGGTCCCTCGCAAAAGCGGAGACTGCAAGTGTGGGAGCCCAGGACATATCAACCCCATTGATTTATTGGGGCGTGAGATTCATTTGAAGCCCTCAGGTTGATTCCTCCCCTGCGCTCCCGCTCTCGGCGCGCAGTGCGCCAGCCTCAACCTGCACGTGCGGGTGCGGGTTGACTACCAAAGCCATTTTGGGTGTCCCCCTATTTCGACACATAATCATGTGGTTGAAGTGGGATCTCAACAGTTACCCGAGCATCACAGAAACCCTTGGTACTTCTTCACACGGTCCTTCGTGTAACTGCAAATATATTCTTGCCGACATTGGGGGCTGCAACTACTACATGTTACATGTTCCACCGGAGAGGCTTTGTGTGCCCGAGGTCGCCTTTACTAGCTGGTGCTGGTCTTGGGCAAGATCGGTTGCCGCAATCATACCCAGGAAAACCAACAGGAGCTGGCGAACATCGATATTGACCCCGGATCCATCAACCCGGCACCACCGCCCCAACAAGAATCAACCCCCAGTCAAAGTCAACTGGATTCCCACGAAGTGGCTTCCATTTGGTTTCCGTTTGGGTTGCTTTTTTGTGTGCTCGCTCTTGCGGGTTGTTCTTCAAAGGGAAAGCAAAGGAGCACACCGATCACTATTGCTTCGGTCTCTTGGGTGTTTTTCCGGGTATGCCACCCTGCAATCTGTCTGCCCTGGAAAGGCATCTTAATCAGTTGCAATCAAAGCTTGACAACATGTGGAACGGGCAGTGTCAACACACGCGAAAGTCAAAACATAAGTTATCATGTCTTCCCCTAAACAGCTTTTGCCCTCAATTATTGTGGTTGGCATGTAGCAGTTTCCCCACCCAGTTCATCATAGACAACATCCTTTGTTTTCAGTCACACACGTCACCGAGGGAAACACCTCACTTAAAACCTCCTGGCGCCAGCAAAGCATCAAAAGGCTCTCTTGGCTCTGGAAAGTGTCAGGTCTTCAGCTGTCGATGTGAGTCTCTTTTGGATGGTGAAAAGGAAACCAATAGGATTTTAGGTGACCCCCCTCTGGAATGGTTCAAAAAGGCAACAAAAAGGACGCCAACCATCTTTGCAGGGTCTCCAATGTTTTTTTTGGGGGGCCCTTTGGGACGGAAAGGAGATGAAAACCCAGCCCGATCCGTGCATGATGTGGGCACTGGGACTGACCCAAAACCACGGTGGCAGTGACAAGGAATGCTTTGGTTTTGGTTCAGTCCTCTGTGGCATGCTTCTCTAATCAGGAAAAAGCTTCAGGAGAAAGAGGTTTGATGACCATGTGTATACATATATATATATATATATATATTCAATCCCGAGCACAGACTTTGGCACACCCACCTGCCCCAGATTCACATTCGCACTGTCACCCAGGGATAAAAGCAAAATGGACCCAGCTGTTCTGACTTTACGGCCCCCAGAAACAGTTCAAACAATGGGCAAAGAGGCTTTGGCCGAAAGCGTGGAATATAAACCCACGACTCTCCCCCTTGGGCCAAGTCCTCCGTCTCTGGTCGCTCCACCAACTCTTCCTGACATGGGCAAAACCCCGAAACGTGCGGAGAAAGAAACCCGCCAAAGCGGTATGTCTTAAAATAGAGGCCCCGCACATCGTGCCCTTTGGTTGGAAAACAACGACACACCTAAACAGACCTGCCAGCGCTTTGGTATCTTCAGGGCTGAAACATGTGCTCGGGACGCCTCAAGGCGCAAATCCGCTCCCAGATCCGGCAAAACCCTTTCAAGGCTATTGCTTGTTCTCGACCAACTGCGGGATTGATCTCCAGCGTGGCCAAATCAGTATAGGTAGGCTGGAATTCGGAATTCAGTGATTCAACCGAGTTCGCGTTGTGATTCTTTGTCAGACCATGGGGGGTCACAAGTGAGACTTTTCAGCGGTCCTGCTTGACACAACCATGTGCGGATCAACGGATGGTTGGGCCAATGTCGGGGCTTTGGGATTTCGTATCTGGCGGTTGAGGGTAAGGCAAGTATGTGGTAAAGAAAGAAGCAGAAGAAGAAGAAGAAGAAGAAGACTATGTTTAGGATTCCAAAAAAACACTTAATGGCCTAGTGGGTGCCCAATATGAAAGCATGGATCTTCTCAAAACTCGAAATTGAACCCAAAAGAGCTGGACCTGTTTGGTCGGTGATGTAACACAAAGCCATTTGAACAGTGCTCGACACCGTCAACACCTAGTAACTGTTAGTTCTACCGACATGGTTCCCAAGGGACGACAAGGACCTCACTACAATTCCTACTAAACATAACTAGACCTGCCATTTTCAAACTCATTTCGGTTGCGTTGCGCATTTGAGAGGGCTTTGACACGTTGACGCGTCGAGCATCTCGCCATTCATGGCTCCTACTGTGGATGGACGGAATCCTGCACCACTTTGAAACAATGGGAACCAATTATTTGTTTTGATATTTACAGGGGAATCAACATCCCAAGCTTTGTTGGGTGGTGCAGGATTTCGTCCATCCACAGTGCAAATGCCTGGAAGTCCAGGACTAAGCAGCCCTCAGCGCTCCCACTTTTCTCGACTCCCAGGCACCTGCAACTTCTCGGAATCCGCGGCCGGAAGAGCGCTGGCCACGCCTTCGGCCTCGGCGCGGCTTCGCAAAACAAGAAAAAGGGTCCATGCCGACACGTGAGAAACCCATGAGAGACAAGCGCTTCTCCAAATTGTGGGGGGGGGGGGGGGTTCTGTTGGTTTGCCCGTGAAGGCCATCCAAAAGGAGGTCCCCTCGCAATGTTCGGAAACGCCTAAAGTTGCCCCTGTTCGATGTGCAACCTGTCTGTTGGCGCTTCCCTGTTTTGAAAACATATGCTGAGCAAAAAGGGGGTTGGACGCTGTTATCCCCCTGATAATGGCTCCATATGCAGGGTGTTGGATAATGCAAAAAGGCAAAAAGGACACCAGCTTTGGATTGGCAAGCAAGAAAAGCCACGTTTGGAATCACCAAAGGCTATCCTCACCACGGCCAAATTACAGCTCCAATTGGGTATGGGTCAAAACTAAACCACCAGGGGACCGCAGGTTTTGGTCCACGTTTCCATTTACCAGGACTCCATTTTGGGTACATATGTTTGACCCATAGCCAATTAGAAAAGCGTGCACTCCAAGCTCGGGGCATCATTCTCATCCTCCCTGCGCCGAGGTCAGGCAACAGAGAGGACAAGGCCAAGGTGGAGCGGCTGAGAAAGTAAGGGCAAGGGATGAAGACATGAAGTTGAGGAACCGACTGCGAAACTTCGGGGGCTCTATGTGGTGTGTGTGTGTGTTCTTTTTTTTTGTTGCCAAAAGGTGGTGCTCATAGGTGGCCTTTTGGAAAAATAATGGCCCTGGTACATGGAATAAACCCCATTTAAACCAGGGGAACCCCTCTATTTTTTAAGCAAACCAACCAAAAAGGACACCTATGGTGGTGCTTGAATCACCCCAAGAAATGATTCAAACTGCAAAGCCGCGGGGGGCCTGGTCATGCAGCAGGCGAAGCGGTCCCAAAAGGTCGGGGCCGGCCTGGCCTTGACCTCTCGAGACCGAAATCGGCTGAACATCGGGGGCTCGGATTTCGTGTCGTTCGGTTTGTTTTTGAGAACCCAAGGGGTCAAAGGTGTGTCAAAAGGTATGTCCTCCTTTGAAAGGCACCCTTTCAACCGGAAACCAAAACCTTTGGAGGGTCCCAAGTTTGGGAAAGCGAAGGGAGGCCTGGGCCACTTGAATGGCTAAGAGAACCGGAACACCAACGGCATGAACCCCTTCGTTTGAGACACCCGATCAGCCTCCCGGAGATGGATATCGCGATTTCGGGTCAAAAGGCATTCACACAAGAAACACTCCTCTTCAAATTAATGGATTCAGGAGTAGCTATTGGTCTCTGACCCTTCGCCAGAAGTTCGAGCAACCGTGTGGTTGCTTCCGCATTTGCACAGCTCAAAACAGCCTCCTCACAAGCCAAACAGAAGGCCCTCTCAAAGAACAAGCTGTCTTCGAACATGGCCGTCAGCTGCTGGTGCGAGACTCATGCGTCCTTTGCGGATGGATGCTTTTGCTCTGCTTGGGACAAGGCCACATCGGCCATCTCTGTGTCCGCCATGAATCAACCTCAGCGAAGCGAAGAGGAGCAGACATCTCATGGTGGCACCAAGTACGAGGGTTGTGGGACTTGCGGGACTTGCGGGACTTGTGGGACTTGCGGGACTTGTGGTTGTGGGACTTGTCCACTTCTGTGTACCTTTGAAAGGCCTGGTGTCACAGAGGTGCAGGAAGGATGCAGAAAAAGCCCAACTGGGGAGCCGGGTCCTAAGCACCCGGCCTTTCCACTTGAGTGGGCAGTCAGCACATGGCTTGAGCCACAGATCCCACGAAACCAACTTCTGCCCACAAGCTCCGTCTGAACAGACTCGGACCAAAGCTCTTAGGCTCTCAGGCCAAAGGACGTGGACCAAAACTGGGCCAAACCAAAAGCTCGGAAGCTTGGCATGGGGCACCCATGAGGCAGCTGGATGGTCTGGAAAAGGGAGCATCCGGATCTATTGGTCGAAAATGCCGCTCTAAATCTCAGGGAGTGCTTGTCGTCGTCAGATGGGGCGGCTGCAAAAAGAAAGAGGCCCATCGGCAAACAGAGCTTCAAAGCAAGGTCATCCCCAAGTCAATCAAATCAATGTGAAAGGCCCAAAGCAGCCAATCGCTTTTGCTACGTTCCTGGTGTCCCCTTGATTTGGGAACCTAGTAATTAACAAATACTTCATTGAAAATTAGCATAGAACGAAAGGGTACTCCAAAAGAAGGCTCCCCAGGATCATCTTTCCGCTCTTGGGGCTGAATGAAAACGTGAGGGAGTATATTTCTCGTCTCGTGGCATTTGGGTACTTGCGCCCACCGGCTGCTTCGCAAGCAACCATTGGTCTGACAGGAACTCGGGATTAATACCCCCGGGGATGATAGAGGGGTGTACCGTTCAAAAGAGAGTTCATCACTTGTTGGGGAAACCAGCCTTACGAATTCGACAGGTTTAAGCCCGGAACACCTCTGCAAGTGTTGCACCTCTGGAACTCCATCGGGCGGCAATTTCGCAGCCCCCTTCGCAGCGTCCCCGGGCCGCGTGGCTTTTTCGCCCCCCCGCGCGGCTCGCTCGCTGAAGCGCTGCGCGGCGAGACCGCCTGAGACCGAGCTACTCCTCCGCTCTGCGCCGGCGCCGCGGCTTCTCCAGCTCCCTGGGGCCCAGAGCCCAGCGGGAAGCGCGTCTCATTGCAATTTGGCTTAGACCCACAGTCGCAGAGGAAAACCCACGCGAACCTCACGGCTCTTTGCGAGTTTCCTTTAAACCAAAGCCCCTCACGGGAGGTCTGTCAAAAAACCCCCACAAAAACACAAGGGATGGCAACCCGGCTGCCAAAAACAGTACAAGAAAGGGGGCCCGAAAGCATGACATATAGTGAGCGAAGCCTCTTCTCTGCGCAAGGTCAATCTGTAAGTTTCTCTGCGCAAGTTTTCTGAGCAAACTTCCCTGAGCAAGTGTGTCTGAGCAAGTTTCTTTCAAGTTCGCTTCGTTAGCAAGTTCTCTGAGCAAGTTCTCTGTTCTCGGCTAGCTTTTTTCTGCAAGCTAAGTTTCTCTGCGCAAGTTCTCGGCTCTAATTTCGTTGCTCGAGTTTGTCTACCAGTTTCTCTGCGCAAGTTGTCGATGCAAGTTCTCTGGGCGAGCTGTCAGTGCTTTGTGCAAGTTTCTCTGCGCAACTATCTCTCTGCAAGCTGCGCTCTGCGATTTGTTTGCATGCGTCGTTCTCAATGCAAAGGGCCCTTCTCCCCACAAGTACTGCCAAGAGTTGCAAACACTCCAGTTTTGGCACATCGACCACCCCGATCCCCGCAGAAGGGTCGCAAAAGTCGTCCGTGGTTGCACATCGACCACGCCAGGGTCGCGCGGAAACGCAAACAGTAGAAAAAGTCCTCAGCTTTCAGACACTGACCACGCAAGCCCAAGAGGATCGCGCGGGAACTGCAAAAGTAGAAAGTCTCCAGCTTTTGCACATCAACCATGCCGGGCCACAAAAAGTTGGAAAAACCCTCAGTCAGCTTTGCACGCCGATCCCGCGACCCTCCGCAAAAAGTAGAAAAACATTGTTTTCACACATGGACCGCGCCAATCCCCGCAAAGGATTTCATTATTTTCGCAGAGTGGGTTTGGTCCCACCGCGCCGCCGGAAAGAATATATAATTGTCATCTCTGGTGCTCTCGTGGTCTTGCTCTGCATGTGCGCTGGGTCTCAGCATCTTGCTCTGCAGCTATGCATGGGCTCTCGCGAATCTTGCTCTGCATGTGCGCTCGACGTGCGCTCTGACGTCTCTTGCTATGCGTGGGATCTCGTGCACCCTCCTGCACATGTACTCTCGTGCATCTTGCTGCACGACGAGGCTAACGATTTTACCAGAAGAACCCTTCATAATGCTTTCGGGAGCAAGAGGTTTGGGTCGGGACTGTCCCCCGTCTGCCCCATAAACCTGTGCGCGGGGGGGTTCGATTAAACCAAAAAGGCTTCGAGCAAACGAAAAACGGGTTCCAACAAATAGTTTCCAGCTTTCAAGTGACAATCACGTGCCTACGTACTGCATTTTGAGGGTCAATGGACGAATTTAACACACTGTCCGTCGCGAGGGCTTCCACCAACTCAATCGATTCCACAGAAGCCATGGAGGAAGCCGTGATTTAGAGGGATGAAAAGACATCGTCAAAATCACAAAGTAACCCAGTTGGAAGCTTGAGCCAAAATGGCAAGGGTCATTTTGTAAATAACCGGAAAGGGCACCCGAACACTGGACCAGACCAGTGGACCTGCCAGTGAAGCTGCTGATCAGTCGACCCAGTCTTTTGCATTTGATCCCCATTTGGTTGATCCTTGTATAAATTCGGGGGTGTCCTTTTTTGAGGGTGCCCTTTTTGGTTGGTGTCGAAGGCAAACCAAAAGAAAGCCAACCAAATGACACACTCCTTTGACGTCATGCTCCCCAAAATCCAAAACGCCCGTCCCGTCCCAAAAAAAAAACACGAGACCGCCCCCGCGCCTTTCCACCAGGTACATCTCGTAGTCGCCCCACTTCTTGCCAAGCCAGGCGACCAGGCACCAGAAGCCAAAGAACAGAATGCCTGCGCTTTGCAACCCCATCTTGAGGCTCTGAACGGCCAAATGAGTGAACCAAATGGGGGTTAAGGCCGTCTGACGCTTCGGACCCAACATTTAGTTCCCTGTTGACGCCACACTATGTCTCATGTGTAATCGTTTGGGGGGCAGGGAATTGGGCGATTGAAAAGCAACTGTCTCTTGACCGAAACATGGTGATCACCATACTGTATTTTGCTCGACAGGAGCAGGTACGCTCAAGTTCAAGTCAAACACAAGTCGCCCGTGGACTTGAGTTGTCAAAAGATACCGGTCACCGTCCAAAAGCTTGAACAGCAAGCATGGAGTTTCAACTGCAAAGGGATGGGAAAGATGAAATCGGGGCTTTCAGGCCGGGCTCAATAGGCCGTGGCACTGCGTTCTACACAGCACGAGTCATATATATATATATATGTATAGTGATGTTCAACCTGCATTGGCAGCACGGGCTTGCTGAATATGGACGGCGTACATTTGAAAAACACCCAAGGCCCCCACCAGGATTTTTTGGAGATCAGGGATGGCGTTCAGGTCATCAGTTCATATATTCACCAGCATGGGGCTTCCATGCGGAAGGACAATTTGTATACGTGTATAGATGTAGGTAGAAAAATAATAGAGAGAGATACAACAATGTATATCACCATGTATATTCCCCGCCCGCCCCCCTCCCCGCCCCCAACCAGAAACACGCATTGGCCCAGACCATGAAAGCCTGGGAAACGCTCATTTGTTGCCTGCGATAATTGAAACTTACACATCGGTGTGTGTGAAAGCCTTAAGCTCTAAAGAAGTTACAGACTTCAAAGCTTCACAGGATCCAGAACCTCAGAGGCTTTTCCCAGAACCTCCGGAACCTCACCGCAAGCTTCAAAGCGCATACCGCCTTGAGCACTTTGGGAGCGCTTTCAAGCGAAGTTGAGGGCTTAGGCCCAAGTGGTCTGGAGTCTGCAGAGTTTCAACGTGATTCAAAGCTGTGGGGCTGAGTCCTCGTAACATGGTTGTTCTTGGCAGTCTGCCCATTCTGCAGGCAGAGGATGTATCCAAAGTATAGAGAGACCCTCCTTTCTCAGAAAGCCCTGAAAAAGATGACACTTCAGAAATGTCGAGCAAGTGTAGGCAGTAGCACTGAGGCTTCATTGGCAAATGTGCCACATTGTTCACCTAACGTGTCTGAGTTGTCATACGGCAGTTGTTACAATGTTACAATGTCGCACAAATATCTTTCAAAGAAAATGGCTTCTTTGAAAGGAGTACCTTGAACAATTTGCACGCATGAGTTGTGGATCATTCACATGCACCTACCATCAAGTGCTCAACCTCAGAAACCGTAGCCAAAAGGTGCGCTGCGTTGTGTCGCATCTAAATTTTCGTGGTCGTAAGACCATTCTTTGCTTTGGATACACATATATCCGTGTGCAAAGTGACCCTGCCGTTTGGGCCTTTCCTCTGACAAAGGGTTTAAACGGTTTAAACGGTGTAAACGGTTTAAACGGCTTGGGGCCCTGGCCCTGGGGGGGGACCCTTCCTCTCAGAAAGGGTTTTAATGGTTTAAACGGTTTGGGGCCCTGACTCTCTTCTTTGCTGTTGTGTTTGGCATCTTTTGACTAAACCTCAGCTTAGAAATAGGACAGAGGTAGATCCAAGCCGACTAAAACGTCATTCGGGCTTCAAGATTCGCTGGAAAAGTGTCAAACCTGAAGCATGCAGATTGTCTTTGGACATGCACCCCTTTTTGTTGCTGCTTTCCCCAAAGCCTCAAAACAGGCAAAAAACACTGCAAACACCAGTGAATTGTGAAACAGCGGTTTAAATAGGATCTCCGTTCAAAGACTATGTTAATTGGAATGTGGATGTCAAAATAGACTTTAAAGGCAGTCTCCGTTTCTTCTTTTGAACTTAATGAGGAAATACTCCTCGTAGGATGTTCCAGTTTAACCAGAATCGAAATAGGTTTTCTTGTTCAAAGAAGACTTGTAATAAATCCAAGTAAAACCCATCTTTTAAGACAAGCCCATCTAAATTATCGTTCAAAAAAAAAGAAAAAACAGAATATCTACTAGAATTATGGCATTGATCAAACAACCGAATTGAACGTTTCACATTGTAATTTTGATTGTGTTTCTCAAATTAGACTCTAAAGGGGGTCGTTTTTTGCTAGGATCGTGGTTTCAATGTTCTATAAAACTTAAGTGGAGTTTAGTAAGGAAACTATCCTAGTGCGATGTCTAACTTAACGAGAATCTAAATGGGTTGTTCTTTTCAATTTCGCTTTTTTCAAGTTGGAATTTAAATCGTGTTCTAGTTGTATTGTTTGATCGCACAATAAATAGAAATTTATCAGGACACATGTCTAGTAGAGCGTCTAGTTTTCACGAGAATTTAAGTAGACTTGTTGTAAAATGATATGATTGATTGGCGTTCATATTTCAAACTCGCCTCTGAAACGGCTCTCTTCTTCTAGCATTGAGTTTGCCAAATTTCGAGTTGGAATTTAGATAGAAGTTGGCAGTGAAACATCCTAATATAATTTCTAGATTTAAAGATGATGTACATAGGATGTCCTGTTGGAAGAATCTGCTTAATTGTGATTCTTGCTTCAAATTGGATTTTAAAGAGGACTTCTTTTCAGGATGTTGCTTCCAGTTTCTAATTGGAATCTAATAGATTTCAATAAGGTCCTTTTTGTTGCTGCTTTCCCTAAAGCAAAAGAAGGCATGAACAAAAAGGTAGACCCTTGAGGGGGGGGGGGTAGCATGTATAAATATGTATATATATATATATGTATATATAGAGATTATATTCTGCATCTGGCAACAACCATTGGCAGTACTCTGATGATCAAGGGATTGCTTTGGCACCTGCCCAAACTGCATACTCACAAGCTCCGTGCATGCCACGCCTCCCCATCGTGAGAAGAAGATGTTGACTTTGGATCTCTCCTGCCGATAAGCCGGATAAACCGGAGCACAGCGCCACTGGGCCACGGTGCCGACAGGTCAACATGTCTACGCAGCTTTGGCTTCAAAGAACAAACTTAGGTGTGCCAATCTGGACCTGCGAAGGAACCTGTCAAATTAAACATGCGCCCCACAATCAAGCTCTGCAAAAAAGAAAAGGTTTGCCTGCGACTTGATCGAGTCCCAAGCGAACGCTGCAGCATTGTACATTTCATTGAGCCACGTCCCTTCCAGCAATGGCAAGTACCATCTTGACAAAGGATAGCCTCTCCATCCCCTCTCGCAACAAACACGAGGGTGCATCAAAGCCAGGCCCGACACTACCAAGCATATATATCCACGGGCGATCTACCGGGCTGGTGTTGAACAACAGTGAGACTTCTTCGATTTGGGCCAAGGCGAACGAACGCCGTCGACGCGCGAACGGCCGAGCTGTCTCCTTCTTCTTCTCCTCCCAGTAGTCCCGCTGCTCCTGCAGCTTTCTGGTCACCTGCTCCGGGGTCTCGGGAGGCACTTTCTTCCTTGGACACGGGAGGGCGACGGTTGCACCCGAAGCCGAGCACTAGAAACTCACCCCGGGCCGGCCATGACTTAGCGCCCCACTCCTCTGTTTTCGCGCTGAAGCTACGCCTGGAAGCCAGGGGATCGGGTCGGGCAACTCCCGTAACCCCGCCCACGCTTCACCATTTCACCAGTACTTGTAGGTTTGTTGGTTGGAGTTCCGAGTTTGTTGGTTGGGGTCCAGAATTGTTGGTTACTAGTTCAACAAGCAGTTGAACCGGCTGAACCAGTCGAGCCGGTTGAACCATGACCAAACCAAAACCTCTCAGCCCCGCGCAGCGCCACTCGCGCGGGCGCGCACAGCGCGGTCCGCGGCAGCCGCGCCTCGGGGAGGGGTGGAAGGCGTGGGACTGCGATCCCGTCCGAAACGAGAGCCACGCAGATCGCTTATTCACCAACTTGGGTGATTTTCAGAGACTTCGAGGGATGGGCGGAATAAATCTGTGCTGGGTGAATTGTGTTGATTCCCCAGGCCAAAATGAGGGGGGGGACTCGTTTAAAGGAACTTTCATCATGGGCTGGCAGTCGCAACGTTAGCTAGAATGGACACGAGAAAATAGGAATGCGTCCCCTGGTTGGTGTGGCAACATGAGAAAGTCATGCGGCGTCTGTGGTTGAAATCATGTGCTTGTGATCTTCCGGAGCCAAAAATTGACAGGCAGAAAGCTCTGCCCGAACTTGGATATAAACAGATCCGCCAATTCAACTTCAGTCTGCGATGTTCCTACGGGTTGTCTCCAGATCCGGTGATCCCCCCGATTTTGTGTTTGTGTTTTCCTTTGCCTTCAGGTTGAAAAACCCAAGAATACATTTACCTTCAAAACAAGCACTTCCGAATCTCCTCGAAGCCTTAGCTCTGAAGGATCCTTTTCCGGATGCTTCCGGAGAATGAAGCCCAATCTTTGGCAAACCCCTGGGGAGCACGTTCCTCTGGTACACTCTTGGGGTTAATGGGAAATCCTATTTTGAGACACATGACCAGCTGAAGTGTCCTCCTTCTAACCAACAAACGACTGACATGCTTTGTTGCATTTCACGAACAAATAATCATCTCAAATGACATGTCTGCATTCCTTCTGTGGACGCTAGCGAATCATTATCAATGTTCTCAAGATGAGCTTCTGGGCAGGCAACTTTGGCCGAGCTGTTGTAGTGAAATCTGCACCTGGGAATGCTCCGCATCTTGATTGGGGTTGAAGGGAAACCAACAACCAAGAGTAAACAAGCCATGTTTGCGCCTCTGGTTTTCGAAACACCCATCGCTCTCTCTCACCGCAATCTCCAGACCTTTGAAACCGCTGGGGCGCCCTAGCGCAGAGCCGCAGCGACATGCCGCAGGCGCGCGAAGCGAAAACTGGTACTTCCGCCTATGCTGCCACCTGTTGGGATTGGCCGAAAGAGCCCATACCTCCTGGAATCTGCTAGTTTCTTTAAGAACCAAATGCTCCAAGCAGCTTCCCTCAAAAGGAGAATTCTGGCTCGAAATCTGTCCAAGTGAGATACGCATCCGGCCGATATGCTCTTTGCCATGCACTCCAACGGGTCACGCCACGGGCGAGCATGAGCCCAAGGGATGGGTTGATGGCTTTTGGATAGTCCAAATTGGGTTCATTCCGTACATCCATCTTTCAAGATCAGTGCTTCTTTGGAGCCTGGTCAAGCGACGTTCCTTTCGGAATGCATTCGAAGACGCTCGGCTTGACGATCGCGAAAGCATGCGCAGCTGCTCCATTCAGGTCACTCATGCGCGCTGGCTTCTCAGCGCCCCTCGCTCTGCCAAGATGTACGTGCTCTCACAACAAACTGCGGCTTTTCTGGACCTCACGAGCGTTGCCTCTTTGGGCCTCGTGACACGTGTGGGCCACGTAATGATCTCGTGGCACTTTCACTGGCGCCGAATATTGGACTCACCGGTTGACCCCGGCCAGCGCGCACCGCCCATCTTGGGCGCGGGCCCAACTTTGTGAAGCCCATGCGCGGCAGGCTTAAATCTGGACTACAGCTTTTCAAGAGGTCTCATCAATTTGCTCAACCTCACCGGTTCAATCGTAGTATTTGTACCCGTACGGCCTCGAATATGGCCTCGGTCGCCATGGTCTAGGTGGCCTCATGCATTTTTTGAGGAGCCGCTCATTCACCCGCAGGCTGTACCTGCGGAACGGCCGGTGGCTTTCTCTTGAAGTTCCCACCTGCTTTCCGCTTCCGTTGTGGTTTGGATTGGTGGTTTGGTGGTTTGGGGGTATCCCATTTGCCTTCCACAAGATCCAGAGGTACAAACTCCCAAACCATCAATCCAAATCACCCAAATGATGTTTGGCCCTTGCGCGGAAGAAAATGGAAAACTGGGCACCAAAAACCCTTGAAGATTGCAAGCCCATTTGCAGTGAGCCAACAAATGTAGCTCTTCACTGACATACCGCCCATCTCTTTGCAGCAGAAAAGGGTTTCAAGGCCACCAATATACAGGAAAGCAACTCTCATGGTGAAATTTCTCAGCTCTGAAGTCGTCGACACACCTAAGGCTCCACTTTGGATACAAGGTAGATCTTGGCCCAGGGTTGATTTCGGAGGCCCCTGGCGTTTGCTAAACTGGTACCCTAGATGACGTGTCTCGCAGAACCTCTTCCCTTGGCGGACTCGGTGAGAGACGCATACAGGTTTGCCTGCTGGACGCTCAAGGCACTCCCATCCTCGCCGGGGAAAACTGACAGAGGCCCTATGCCCTAGGCTTCCTTTTGGAAAAGCATCCAAACTCAAACCAGTGCCGGCTACGTTCATCTATGTTCATCTCCACTGACCGAAAAAGGACCCAAAGTTCACTGGAAATCGCGGTTCCTTTCTGGGAGTCGCGATGGGATAGAAACATGGTTTCAGAGATTGCTTCTCTTTCAATCTGGATCCAAAACCTGAGCACCTAGGATTACTGAAGAGGATAGCTCAGCAAGATGGCTTGGGGAAGCATAGCTGAAGGGAGCGTAGCTGAAGGGAGGATAGCTGAAACAAGGACTGCTGAAGAGTAGAAGGAAGTGTAGCTGACACGACAAGCCAAAAAAAAGGAAAAAAGGAAAATACGACAACAAGGACGGAAGATCCTCCCGTCCTTGCCGTCTCCTTGAGGATTCGCAGTGCGGATGTAGGGGAAGGGGTATGGCCAGAAGGCGCTCTTGGTGTCGAAGTCCCCTCGTAAGATCGCCTCCTGCCCGCGGCCCGCGGGCCCGCGGCACCGAAAGGGCGTCCTCTTTAGCCCAAGGACAATGCGTGGAACAGCAAATCCCCAGGTTTCCCATGGAAAAACACACCACCCCTCTTCCCAGACAGAGCAAAAACCATCCCGAGTTTCCATGAAAAACACAAAACCACCACCCCACCCCACCCTTCTTCCCAGAGCAAAAACCCTCTTTTCATGGGTGAACTGCGCCCAATCCCCTCCAAT